TTCATACATGCACGTGTTCGAAACAGCTATTGCGCCCCAAATATTTGAATTCTGAATTCCTGTTTGTTTGTTTGTTTGTTTGACGGCGGTCCATTCTTTTGAAAGTATATGGTAAGAAACCGATTGAAAGTCCCCGAAAATGGACACCAAATATATAGTCTCACCCATATTCGTTCGGAACCTATATACACTCCCCAGAAGCCATCATACAGATCCTACTTTAAAGGAGGAAAGCCCAAATCCTACTTAATAATGAGGAAAAGCTTATCTTCCACCCCAAGCTGTTGACCAGCGGACCCCAAGGTCATCACTGTTTTAGGCCGTCCCAGGAGTGGAAAAAGCTTCTGGCTGGACCGCTGCTGCCTTTTGAAGGTGCTGGCTGTTATAGTGTATGTAAAGGCGTAGGAGACAAAGGAGGATGCGGACGGGTAGGAGCAGGCGTTGTACTAGTTGAAGTAGCACAGCAATCTTAGTAGGAGCTATAGACTGTAAAGCGGCACCTCTCACAATTTGTTATAAGCACTCCTACCGCTGTCGCAGAACTGCGGCAACGCTCACGAGCACGATGCCTCTCTCTAACACAACTTCGATCAACTCCGATCTCTGGCCCTAAGCCCTGCATCCTAAACTGTCTTTAAAGTCAAGCTTCGATTTATCAAGGAAGGCTTGTTGCGGTTCTCCAACGAATGTAAGGCTGTCAAGAGCACAGCAAGATTGTTGAAAGGCCAAGGCTGATGCGAGCTGCTTGCTTGATTGATCGCGTGCAATTTCTAGTCCAAACTTATGAGGATCTTTGGGGCACTGCAACTTTGCAAACTCCATGCGTATTCAGGCTGATGGGGGACTGTTACGGGTGATGCTATGTTAAGTCTTATGCAATGGCACATATCTGCAACCCCAGAGGCTCGGTTCAGGGCTTGGACCCTTTGTGAACCCGAATTTTGCTGCGCACATTGCGGCTATTGTGGAACGTTGCTCATACAAAGCTGAAGCTGAATTCCGACACAAAACCCAAGACCCTCGACCACTCCGGCTTACAACTAGCTAGTCAATTCTGCCTTGGTATTCGACAATCTTGCTGCTTGCGGTACAGTCCGATGGTCTCCAACTGCAGCCTTAAAGCATGTGAGCTATAGTCTAAACTCCTAGTATCCCCCTTAATAACCCCTATAGTAATCCCCTCACCTCAGGTTAATAATCCGTTGCACTAGTATGTAAGGGGGAAAGAAAATGCCTCCTGAGCGTGCCACGACTATGGTGATGCAACTTAAGGTAGGGGTAATGTAGACGCACGATTAATACCCCTACAGGCCTTAATACCAAGATCCCCATTATAATCCCTATTAAGGGGAGGGGATTTATTAATCACGAGTCTACGCTACCCAATACTCAGGTCTGTCCGTTGTTCCCGCTTCCCTCCCCACCCCCACACGCCTGAACAGCAGATGTACTGTAGAAGCCCGAAGAATTGCCAACATTCTTGTTTGGTCGTCTTACTAGAACAATAGAATCTAATTTATAATAATATATTAATATAATACACCAGAAAACCCTAAACAGTAGTTCTATTCAATTGTTCATGTGCTTTTCGATGTTATTCTCGAATGGTCTTCCTACGTAGGCCACTAAGCCCTAAATAATGTAGTAGATTCCATTTTCTTTTCCGTTCCCATCAAAAAAATCCTATAAGATCCCCTACATACACCTATCAATTCCAAATTTCCTAAACCCTAAACGCTTAAACCTTAAACTGTTCATCACCACTCAGGCCCCTACAGTTATTGCGGGCAGCATGGCATGCCTCCCTAAATCGGTGTCGAACCCACAGGATGAACAAGTAGACAAGGGTCACAAAAGTTAAATTACTATAATGAGGTTGTATTGGGATATATAGGGGCAATGTTGGGATTATATTGAGATAATGGAAACTAAAATGGAAATTACTATAATGGGGTTATATTGGTGTAATATTGGGGTTATATTGTGGTTATTTATATTGGGATAATGGAAACGGAAACTACTATTTAGGGTTTAGGGTGCAATGATTCAATGTCAAAATGGTCCTAAACCCTAAATAGCAGTTTCCATTTTCTTTTCCATTATCCCTGTATAACTCCATATAATACCACCGTATTCTTCATTCCCTACCATAACCCCCTAAGCCCGACTCAGGACTAGGGTGGTTTGGTCGATGGCTCGGGACCACAGCCTAAACCCTAAACACTAAACCCCCAAGCCAGGCCGACACTGCAGGAAAACGAGTCTAGGGATCGTTAGGGGAACTAGCTCGGACATTGTATTAAACCTGGCTACAAGAGAGCAGAATCCAGTATAATTCAATTCTAGTGCCTCGCAAATGGATGCACTTTTTATACTCAGCAAAAGCATCTGTGCATGAGTACAGTAAGGCTCTTCAAGAGGTTGGTTAGTTGAAGTGTCTGCAGCTGAGACAGGACCTTTCATGGTGCCAGTTTCTTGGAAAAAGGCGCCGATTAATAAGTCAACGCCCCAACTGGCAGAGTGGGCCTATGCCAAGAACCAGCGGACACATTGCTGCTATCTAAGCAAAGAAGTTTAGAGTATAGCTCATATGGTAGTTTCCCTAAACAAGGGAACCCCAATATAGACCCCAAATTACTAGAGTCCTTATTATGGGGATCCCCAAAATGGTACCCCTAATTTCAGGAAACCCCCATATTCCGTGACAGTCACCCGCAGGTCTTCCGCATATGGCACTGCTCAGGGCATTTGGGAAAGGCTTCAAAAAGGACGCTCCGACTTGACATTTCAACTTCTACAATTCCCAACTCTTACTAGCCTCATCAAGACAGCTAATATCAGACAATGACTGCTACAGGTTTTACTGTTACTGTTTTTACTATTACTGTAATTACTCTTATTACTACTAGTACGATGATTATTAATACTACTATTACTCTTGATATTCCTACAGTACTACTCAGAATGATGCTCAGGCATACTCTTGTTACTCAATTGTCGAAGCCGTTTGAAGCCTCTCCTTTTTGCGGACGGCTGAGAGCTATGGCACCTTGCAGGTGGCAGATCACAGCCGTTAGCACCAAGCCGGAGAAGTTCATAAGCATGGCGTGCAGCAGAATTATTATCGGAAAAGCTGCAGGTGGAACAGCTTTTGTTTCCAGGTGGTGTTGACATTACCACATCTGGAGAAATGACCCAGCAGTTCAACAGGCACATGCCAGAGGGACCGGTGGCATCCCTCAGGACAGCGTTCGAGCATCGTGGGTGTTATCTTTGGTTAGGTGCAGAAACTGTAAAGCTCGAACGCGGGGCAGTGCCCAAGCAACTGACTACGTAACAGTTTGCCTGTTCAGGCTCGATTGTTGTGCTTCCCTCCTGCTGCAGCGTACACCACTCTAGCTGCCGATGAAGGCTCTGAATTGACTCGATAAACGAGAGGATCAGAAGCTCAACTCTCCGGGAGGCAGTGTCCGTGGGTTCATACCGCGGACAAAGCTCCCAAAAACCGGTCGAAAGTCATGACTGGTGAAATTGATTAAGCATCTCTTCAGAGAGCACACCAATCACGCTGGCAAGCAGCTATTAGGCTATGTGGTGAGCCCACTCTCCATGTAGTTAGGGTTCTCATTCAGAGCATAGTGCAAGTAGCTAACACTGGACATGCCTCACAGCCCGAACCGAGCAGCCGAAGACTTAGCTTCACCCTGCGTAAGGAGGTTCCTGGACGCAGCTGACACTTCCCCTTTTCTGCTAGGAATCGATGGCTTCGGCTTATCAGCAAGGAGTCCAGGAAAGCAGGTACTGCTCCAATTGTTGCTACGTTGGGCCTGGCATGCGCCTGCGCAGCGAGTCACGACACAGCGGCTGTCAACAGCTCACTCAGGCACTGGTGTGCATGTTTTGTGATCTGATTTCGTCGGCAGAATGCATGGTGAATGCTCATGCTCAGCACACATGTGGACAGCAGGCAAAATCTTCAGCATCGAATCATGTGCCAAACTGACACAGGCTTTCCATCAAACTCGCTCGTTGCATCCTGCACCTATTGACGGACGGGAATCAACGGAATCCGATCCGGAGTGAGTAGGTAGCATTTCACGGTTGAAGGCCGTTGGGCCAAACCTATCAAGCTGGGTGTGGTTGGTTTTGCACCAGCCGATCGGTCAAAGCGTCCTCATCCATTGTGGTTTGGTGCAGAAAAAGACTGTTGCATACAACTTCCGATGTCTGTATGGCAGAAAAACAGCAATAGATGTGTGCACCCACAGGCAATTCTGTGAGAATTGCACCTGACAACTGGTCTTGGGATGTCGCATTTTCGTTAAAGCGCATCTGGGTTGAGGCGCCTTTGTGAACCTCACCGATCAAAGGCTCCTTCCACCCCTACTCAGCCCTCCCAGCAGTGCGAGATGGATTACGGCCTTCTCACCAGGGCGCGTTGCAGTTCTCAGCCCCTAAAGCCTATACCCTAAAGCCCCGATGATTTAGGACCCAGACTCTGATGCTGCCTTAGACCCGTCTCGAATTTCAAGATTGCCTCCCCACCTCCGCTTCTGATCTTGGGTGGTTGTCCCACCACTCGTGCGCAGAGTTACCTCTTTGCCGCAGTATACTGAAATCTTCTATGCCTAGACCCGTTGGCCCTACTAGGGCATGAGCCCTGCATTCTAGGGTGTGATCACCTGCGTTCCCACCTCCTCCATTTGGTGGCATACCCAACTTTGGCTGGAGCGTCAGGCTGACATCAAAGAAGCATCATGAACATCATCCCATATTCGGGGGGGGGGGGATGAACAAGGGCGATTAAGGGCCATCAGTAGAATCCGCAAAGGAGCAACTCCACCAACAAGTGTTCAAGTGGGCCACTTGACAGCAGTCTTACGAACATGATGATCTGTCAAAAGGGGGAGTATGTCTTTCAATAGATGCAGCAGGTTGGTGTCAAAACAAACTTGTCAAGAGCCAGCTGAGGGCCTGCCAGTACGCCCTTGTCCGCTTTCTCAGAATGTTGCCGTCTCAAGATTGACCTCCACCATGGCCCCATACATGCACAAGAATCGCAAGAAGGCCAAATATGAACCCCTATTATAACCCCAATATAACCCCTATTATAACCCCAATATGAACCTAGGGCGACTGACTGGTGGGCAGCCCTGTCGCAGAAGGACGCACAGGCAACTTTGCCTCCTCGTCGTCCTCCTCGTCATTGGGCGGAGGGACCTGGCCAGCTCACTGTACAGCATGAAGCTGATGCAGACGTGGAACTCTGGAAGTTAGATATACTGGGGTTATATAGGGATAATGGAAAATGAAATGGAAACTATAGGGATTATAGGGATTACATAGATGGTCTCAAAATCAGGTGGCATGCTCATCATGCTCCGACCTCAAGTCTCTCATAAACTCTCAGGCGGGCGCCGGAGCAAGGGGTGCGGCAACGACTGGGGCCGAGGTCTTCGGGATCCTTGGCTGACAGTACTTGACATGACAGGACCTGGGGCCAAAGGCTGCATGCTGCTGGCCCAATGCAAACAAAGACAAAGTATCTGCTGAGCTTTATGCGAGTACGACTACTGACTACTCAGCATTTTACTCTCACTATGACGACTAGATTTGCTCTTGTTGTTGCTGGCCGGCTCCACCTAAGGCAGAGACACTGGACGCTCAGACTCGTCCGACAGTGAACTGGCTACTTCCTGCACTTGGCGCAGCCAGGAAAGTGTAGGGTTTAGTTTTTTGTTGTGGGACGTGCTCCGAAATCGATCAGTACCTCTGGAGCATTGGACTGCTCGGCAAGATATTCCCTTATTCCCTACTAAAGCTCCACTATATATATATATACCCTATGTAATAGTTACCATTTTCTTTTCCATCATACCTGTATAAGCCCAATATGCTCCCTTCTAACCTTTTGGGAAGCACTGTGGTTTGCCGTCCTGCGCAGCCTTCCCAGCTGATGTATCCTGGCACAAGTCCACTTGTTCACGCAAATGTGGGGGTTTCCCAAAATTAGGGATACCTTTTGGGGGTCCCAATAAGGAGGATTATGGTATTTTGGGGTCTATATTGGGGTCCCCTTATTTTGGGAAACTACCATGTAGGTCCACGTATCTTGTGAGATAGGCCTGTTTGCTGCGTTCCTTCCACTGAGGATACCGTTCTTGGATAAAGGTGATGTGTGGGCACAACCAAGTCACATCTTTCCTTGACAGAGTTCGTCACACGGACAAATCGAAGCTCAAGACCTAAAGGTTTGGTTCCAGAAGTCAAATCTAGGACTTCATGACATTCCAGAACCTCACCAGTCACCAGAGTAGCAAAAAACGAAAAGCGATGGGAATGAAAAGAAATGACATCGTGGCCTCGGCAATGGTAAGAAGTACCTCTCCAAGTACAAAACTGGACAAACTGGCTATGCCTAAACCCTAAGCCCTAAACCCTAAGCCCCTAAACCCTAAACCCTACCAAATTCTTTCTGCGCCAGCGGCTCCTGCGAGTCCTCGTTGCTCTTCTGCCCCTGCCGACGCAGGTCGCACGTGGAAGGGTTGGTAACAGCATGGAACATGATATATGGGGTTTATATATTTTGGTTATAGGGTATATGTTAGGGTTATATTGGGATAATGGAAAAGAAAATGGAAACTACAGGGATTATATAGGGTTTATATAGGGATATCCCTTAGGAGGACCCCCCACCTTATATACTAGGAATATAACAGGACCCTAATAGAATCCCTATTATCCCCTAGAGTCACTATTACTGGGTGGGGGGTCCACCTAGAGCCTCCCACAGGACGATCTTGAAATGACAAAGATTGGAAACTATGACGCGATTCGAGCAGGCTCCATGACAGCAATCATTTTGGTTGAGATGATGAAGCTATCCCCTCTCCATTTTAATGCTCACCCCCTAATGACACGCATTCTCAATGCAACACGCACTGGGGAAATACTTGCTGTCAGGTGCGCGCGTGCGTGTAAATTTTAGGGGAAGTAATTCTTATGCGGCCTATATACCCCCAGACGCCATTGCATTTTCCATGGGTTTCTCCATTTGATTCTCCGTATTGGGGGTGGACATCCCTAACCCGCATGATCCCTATGGATCCTTTCACATAGCCCCTATCCCTACACATGCCCCCTAAACCCTAAACCCCTAAACCCAAGGGCCATCTTTCACATGCCCCCCCCCAAGCCCTATGAATTGGTGTTATTTAGGGGTTTTATGAACTTCTTTTGAGCTTTAAATGGATTCTGTAGGGGTGATACTAAATTCTTTCGAGCTTTAGATTTAAATTTGAATGGATGATGTAGGGGTTATATGAGGTCCCAGAAAGAGCATTCTGCTTATTTGGGGCTCTAAAGATACTGTCTCAATGATGGAACATGAAATGGCAACTGTGCTTAGATGGAGTTGTAGGGCGGCCCAAATAATTGCCAAAATCATTGCAAGGTCTAAATGAGGTACCCCATGCCGTAATCGTACAAGGCATCTAGGGTCAGATCCCTAGACCACAGACCCCAGACAAGGGGCTTGCAACTTAGGGTTTACGGTTTAAGGTTTAGGGTTTAGGGAGCCCGAGTCCTACTCTAGTTTGAGAACTACAGTATCCCCAAACAAGAACACCACTCAGAGCCACGTAAGCCCTACATAAACTCTTGTACTATCCCTGTGTCCCTTTCCTTGACCTTTGTCTCTTCCATTTGATTCCCCCAAACCCTTAAGACAATGTTCCTGACGACTCCCCTACATAAGCCTATATGCGTACCCCAAATACATCCCTATATAACTCTTACATAATCCCTATATGGGTGGTTGTCAAAATCATGGTCCCTTTTTGGGTACCCTAAATATTAGGTGTCATAATAGGGATCCAAAAAGGGACCATAATTTTGACAACCACCCATATGAACCTTAACCCTGAACCCTGCCTGCGTGCTATCATCCACAGACCAGGAGTTGTTGTCCGAGGGTTCGACTTCCTCAGGGGACCTGGCCCGGATGACTCAGGGACGCTTTAGGTTGCCGGCTCTGGGGGTGTAGATATATGTATACACACACATATATATATGTATGTATATATATACACATACACATATGTATGTGCATATATATATATGATATGCGTTTTGGTTTCCTGAAATTATGGGGACCTTTTTTGTGGGCCTCTATGATAAGGACTATTGTATTTTGGGATCCATGTTGGGGTAATTAAAGGCTTTAGGGATTCGGGGGTTCGTGGTTTGCTTCGTATTTGTTGATGGCTCGTTCCCATCTAGCGGAAAGTTGTTCAAACTGAGCCAGTTCCGATTCTGTGGGAAAAATCTCGTCATGTTCTCTGAGAAAGGAAGCTGAGTTGATATCACAAGCACGGCGCAACATGTTCCCTGTCCACAATTTGAAAGCTCCCTCTTCCTTCTTGCGCCCAAACGTGCGTTAGTGGCATCATCTCTGGCACGCGTCCCGCTGGGCTCGGAGGTTGCTGGTCCACCAGCACCTCACAGACATGGGGCCCAATTTGTAATATTGGGGTTATATAGGGGGTATTTAGGGGCAATGGAAAAGAACATGGAAACTACTATTTTGGGTTTAGGGTTTAGGGTCTTTTTGGGGGGAGTCCTTCTAATAAGGACTACAGTATGTCGGGATGTGTATTGGCCCCCCTGCTTCTGGAAAGAACCAAATTATCAGAGGGCTTTGGGAATGGTGTGCTACTGTGATGAAAAATTCAGGAAGGGAGAAGCTGCCTAATCATTCGGGCTTCTACAGGGTCTGAATGGAAGGAAAGTTCGGGTCTGGTGATTGGGCGAGGTGTGGCAAGTGAGGATTTGTGTTATCACATAAAATTTGGATGTCTTTGGAAGTGGCAGGGACTTGGAAGAGGCCTCTATCAAGCAAGCCACAACTACCTCTGCCCAAGAAAGCTCTGTAAGTTGTGCTGTGCAACCTTCAGACATTCGGAGGGACAGTGATTACGTTGTTGCAGCTGCCAGGCTAATCTAGGCTAGATCATGCTAGATCCATTGCGCTGAGGATGTCCGAAACATCTGAGAGTTAGAATCGCCTTTGTCAAGCATGCTTTTAACCTCTAATAGACGTAGCACCCAAACTATCCACATCATTTGCCTACCTACTAAGTCTCCTCCACCCTCCACCCCCCACCCCCCCCACATCACCTTGGTTTCCACTTCATTTACCATGACATTTTCCTTTTTCGTCTTCGTTTTCCTGATCTATCCTTATACACCCACATCATCTTCCTATACTGGAATAGGTGTTAGGCGCGCTATAGCACATCAATTCTTATAGGTTACATACGGTTGTATAGGGAGTCTGGTCCACAAGGACTTTCAACAAAACCCAGCAACACCGTCGTCATCCCCCTAGACCTACAGTATAGTTGTATGCTTAAAATATGTCATTGGCATATTCCTTAGGTTTATATACTTTAATAAGATAGGAAAATGAGACCCTAAACCCTAAACTCCTAAATCCTAAAGCCTTTCGATTTGATCCTGACAGTGGGCCTGCCTGCGGGGGTTGGTGCTCATCATCCTCCTGCAATTCTGAGTTTAGGGTTTAGGGATTAGAGTTCAAGGTTTAGGGCTTAGGGTTTGGAGCATCTAGCAACGCCAGGTAGTATGTATTAAGTTGTCGCACAATGTTGACCTCATTTCCGGCACGGACAGGGGCATTTGTCCCGCATGTAATTGGATAACGTAGACCCATGAAGAATAAACCCCCTTCTTTAAGGGCCTTAATATTGGGATCCTTATTATAATCCCTATTAAGGGGGGAGGGGGTTCATTAAAGAGGGGTCTGGGTTAATCTGCTGCAAAAGGAGAATGGCCACGCAAAACGTACACGCATGTGTTCGCCTAATTTGTGTTCAACGTTGCTCTGACCATCCATTTCAAGGCTGCTAATCACTTGAGCGTGTAGCACCAAACTCAGCAGCGGGAGGTCTACACCTTGCTGTACAACTTTGTCCATGAATTTCCCTAGTGCCCCTACATTAGCATCCTTCAAGTGTCCGTGCTTTCAGTTTCCCGTGGACCCTACACCCTAAAACCTTAAACCCCGAAGCAGCGGTCCCAGGACATGCGAACTGGCGCTGAGCTCGGTGGGGGCATCCGGGGCATGGATGTCTCAGCCTTCCGAGAGGCTGGGTTCATAATGCCTGTTGCCATGTCATTCGATTTGATTCTCCCTTCTTTTGGGTAAAATCCCCGCATGAGCTACAGTCTAAACTCCNNGAGTTTAGACTGTAGCTCATATCCGAGGGTTCGCAGGATTAGGGTTTAGGAAGGTCAGGGTGCAAGGAGTCCTGGGGCAGGGAGCGGCTTGGCTTTTGCTGCAGCTCGATCAGATTGAGGCAGCTACCGTCGAAGTCGTCATCATCATCACCATCAGCCCTTAACCCTAAACTGAGTGCAACAATGGTGCCAAGCCATGTCAAGCCCTCAGACTATCCAGAAAATGGGTTCTGCATTTCTCGGAAACCTATGCAAGGACTACTCGGGTTCTACCGCAAAGCCACAACTTTGCAAATCGCAGGTCCTTTGCGGCACGCACCTTCGAATACCTTTCACTTCACGCCTTTAGCAAGTATGAAGGATAACATCACTGCGGGTTGCTGCGGGCCTCACCGATCTCATCCTGGCATCGGATTCCATGGGCTCTGCGCACAAGCTGCCAAGTCGGCTAGGCTCAGCACTCCGTGCTATGCTGGGATAGTCCAATCACTGCGGTCAGAACCATTACCGTGCCGGCCATGGGATTGGAATATGCTTGCGACCATGCAAGGACCAGGTCATTCTGAGGAGCCGCACCGAATAGTCGAAGCCATCTGGGACGTTGGCAACCTGATTGAACCTTGGCTTAGCTGCAGGCTGAGGATGAAGCGGGTCGGATGGAGTTGGGCTTCCAGGCTGAGACGCAGCAAACGCACATCTACTTGCAAAACGACTTATGATGTTGATTAATGGCTTCTGGTGACTCTGGAGTCCAAAGCACTCTGCCTCTCGGGGAGCGATTGACACAGTTTCCTCAAAGCTTAAACTCCAGGCGAGTACAGCTTCCCATGTCTGGGAAGCATGCTCGCTCTCATCTGACAGAAGATCCTGCGGTGGCGCTCGCATGGGCGGTCTACAACAAGTCTCTCTTCTCAATGCTAGTTGCACATTGCTGTGGCTGCTATCGGGACTGTAGTTTCATACACCCCGCCACCCTCTTTCAATTATTTGGGGCCCTGCCTTTTGAATCCCCCTTATACAAGCACCGGTAAGTGAAGGGATCCCCCATGAAGGATGCACAATGCCATTCTATGCGCCTTCTGCCTCTTCTTCTCCCAGTATCCGACGACCTAGATGCAGAGACTTGAGCAGGGTATCACTATTTCTTGTGAAGAGTTTAAGGACCCAGGCATCTACTGCATGGAGTTCAGACAGGGGTAGCGTCTGCCATCAAAATCCTTCTGTTTGGCACTCCTCCTGGGCATTAGTAACGCTTCCAACTCTCGCTGGGATACTGCCATCACTATTGCGACGAAATTTGTATGAACACTCCCTAACTTGACGCATGTCTTTCTTACCAGGGTGGTGTTTCCCTAAACCCTAAGACTGGGAGGCCAAGAAAGCGCAAATTTGGAGATCTGCTTTTTGTTTCTCACTAGCTAGGCATATTCTGAAGCACTTGTGTATACTATATTGGTTTTTGTAAAATGATAATTAGGAAGTGATACTACCTGGTTATGGTTTAGGTTTTGCCGCACATAGGTTCGTGGTAACTTCATAACCTCAGGAGATCATACAGCAGTGAGGATTATGCAAGGGTTGTCTTGAGAAACTCTTTATCATCATGTGAGCCAGTCCCTAAACGTCTTAGGCACCCATGTGGGAGCCTTCAATTCCCTAAACCCTAAACC